TGGACACTAAATTAAGATGGAATGAACATGTCAGAAAGAAAGTAAAAGAGTTGAAAACAAAAATTGCGCAATATAGATGGCCGATTGGCAGGCATTCCAAGATGACTTTGTACAACAAACTTTTAATCTATAAACAAATTATTAAACCTACATGGCTCTACGGTGTTCAGCTATGGGGATGCACAAAAAGCGCACACATAAAAAAGATTCAAACGGTCCAAAATAAGGCATTACGTGAAATAGCGAATGCCCCATGGTTGGTCAGAAATAATGCTCTTCACAGAGACCTTGGGATCCTGACTGTTGAACAGGCAATCAAACGGTATGCAAATAAGCCCGCCAGCTGCTAGATGATCAGAATTTATACCGCAGATTGAAGAGAACTAAGCCCTTTGAAGTGATATAGTGCTTTAAGGGCAGAGCATAGTGTTCGTGTAAATATTGCTAATCTTCTGTGAGGCTAAAACTTGGAAAGTCAATGGACTGACTTAGTTAACTACCCTAATTTTAAGATTACAGATAAAAACTGATGGTTGGTCATGCTTGACTAGTTTTAGCAAATAATATTAATAAATAATAAAAAAAAACTAGCTTAAACACAGTCAAAAGACTTACCCAATTAGAGAGTGGAGTATCGATGAACCCGTGTATGATGAACTTCGTCTTCTTCTCCACATCCAGGTTGGACTTCTCTATCGAGTCGTTTTTGGCTTTCAGTATGTGCCCCTGAAAAAACCCCGCAATTTTGCTTGCCTTCAACACCGCTGGGTTGCTTACCTCCATGGGGTTCAGTCGGGTATAAAGTATAAACCTAGTATTTATCACAGATCTGGGCAAGGGGAAGACATTGAATGGACGGTTTATCAAGTGATACCAACTCCGGGTAATGTTGAGACAGCCCAGCTCCTCGTAGCAGCGCGTTTCATTTTCAACTGAAACATCGGGGTTTTTCAGCTAAATCCGGGCTTCGGCCTGCAGGGGGACTTACATGGGAGCCAGGGCAGGTTCAGGTTCACTTCGAAGCCAATCTTGTCCGACCTGGACCAGTTCACATCAAGTATTCCGGCTAGGGAGAGCTGGGCGGCCAGATAAACTACTCCAAGTAGTTGCACATACAGCAGTACCATTATCTGCACTTAAAGGCGAGTTTCGAGCGAACATAAGACGCGATTGGGGACTGAGTTCTCAGTCCTCTGGTGCTCAGAATGTCCCCGAAACTGATCTGAAACACGCAAAACAGACGCTGAATCCAACAGGTGCAATATTGATTTTTTCGGACTTGCCGGGGGCAATTTTCCTCCAATATCGTCGTTTTGTGCAAGGGTGGCGCAAGATAATTGCAAAATTTCATGCTTTCCGTCCCGTTTTGCATGTTTCTCGGAAGTAAAGTGAGCAAGAACGCTCGTTTTTACATCATTCCAAAGAGAACTTAATGGCCTTTTTAGGAAGTGAACCATCGATAAAGAAATGTTGGAATTTTTCTCAAAAAATGCTTGAATTCAAGAAGTTTTAGATTTGCGTGGTTTTTTTTTGAGTTACAAAATCCACTTGAACATAACGCTGCTTTTTTCGAAGTTTCTCAAGAACCATTCGAGCCACAAAATTTGTTTTGGCATCGTTGGATAGAGAATTGAAAAGTCGATTCAGTCGTAACAACGTGCAGGAGGAAATTCGAGTAGTTTTGACCCAGAAAGCGAAATTTGAATATCAGACACTTACGCGCAAGATTATGCCAAAATTCCATGTTTTCCGTCCCGTTTTTGCTCATTTCTCGGAGGCAAAATGAGCAAGAACGCTCATTTGTACATCATTCTAG